CAGAGTCTTACTATGTTGCCCTCAATAGAGTGCTGTGATATCACAGCTAACAGCAACCTCAAACTCTTGGGCTTAAGGGAGTCTCTTACCTCAGCCTCCCAAGTAGCTGGGACTACAGGCCCTGCCACAATGCCCAGCTATGTTTTTTTTCATTGAGAAAGAGTTTTACTTTGTGTCAAAGAAAAAGGTCAAAAGTGAATTATTTATTTACTTTGATAGAGTCTTACTATGTCGCCCTGGTAGAGTGCTGTGTGGCATCACAGCTCACAGCAACCTCAAACTCTTGGGCTTAAGTGATTCTCTTGCCTCAGCCTCCCAAGAAGTAGCTGGGACTACAGGCACCCACCACAAAGTCCAGCTATTTTTTTGTTGCAGTTGTCATTGTTCAGCAGACCTGGGCCGGGCTGGAACCCACCATCTTTGGTTCATGTGGCCTGTGCCCTACTCACTGAGCTTGATACTCTCTTAAGTATATACCCTAGGGAAGTTCACATATGGTGTACACCAGGAGTCATGTACAAGAATGTTCATAGCATTTTTTATAATGGCAAGCCATTGGAAAAGTGACTTATTTTCATACTGTGGAATCCCATTCAAAAATGAAAATCAACTAAAAGCATAACTATCAATGTGGATGAAGCTCAGGAATAACAAAACATCAAATTCAAGCAGGGCATGGTGGATCACCCCTGTAAGGCAGGTGGATTGATTGCCTGAGCTCAAAGGTTGGGAATCAGCCTGAGCCAGAGTAAGACCCTTTTGCTAAAAATAGCCAGGCGTTGTAGCTGGTGCGTGTATAGTAGCCTGGTGTAGTCCCAGCTACTCAAGAGTCTAAGGCAAGAGAATCACTTGAGCCCAAGAGTTTGAGGTTACTGTGAGCTATGACGCAATGGCATTCTACCAAGGGTGACAAAGAGTCGGTCTCAAAAAGAAAAATTCACGACAGTGGTTGGTCTTTGGGAAAAGAAAGTTGCCATATGGGAGGTGGACAGCTGGCTTCAAATGTATTAATAGTGTTTTTTCTTAAATTTGTAGTAAGTGCCCACATAGTTGTTAATTCATGCACGTAAGGAACTACTGAGGGTCTTCTGTGCACGGTGTACTGCTCCAGATGCTGGGGATACTTTAGAGAAGAAAAAAAAAATTCTGCCTTTGTAAATGTGAAATATTGGATATCTTTGTGTGTCTCGTGTTTAATATAAAATTTTTTTAAAGGAATGAGAAATGTGGAAGTAAAACTTCAATTTAAAAATAGCAAAGTCGATCCCTTCTCTGGGAAATCATCCCCAAAGCGCTAAGCAGATGGAAAAGCTCTTTGTCCAAGGAAATCTTCTAGAGAAGATTTTTTAAACTGCTAACTACAAAGCAGTGACACAGTTTAGGGCATAGGAAGATCTCAGTGACATGGAAATGTTTTAGATGAGACAAGAGGATTTTTACTGATGCTAGAGAGCTTAGTTTTCAATTTCCCTGGGCAACTAATTGTCTCTGCGCCTCTGTTTCATCTAGGGATGATGGCCGTCCTGCAAGACTGGTAATTGAGTAAAATCTATTACGAAAAGTGACTGGTACGAGCTTGGCAGAAAACAGGCACATTCCATTTCTCTTCCTCCCCCCACCCCATTTGATTGCACTGCGGGGTACAGTTGTAAGAACTTAGAATTAAATTCTCTGAAGTGTTAAAGATAAGCACCATTCTTTATTTTTCTTAGCTGATTACAAATGGTACTTTCAGGGGCTGAACTGTTAAGAAAAATACGGTAAGCCTCATTACCCTCTCCTTGAGGCTTAAAGGACACCAACAAACCAAGGTGGCAGGCCGGCGTACCTCGCCCCGGCACGCTTCCTGGGCGGAGCCTAGCCAAGCCCCGCCCCTCGCCGCCGGGCGGGGACCGGAGGCGGGACCGGCCCCGCCAGCGCGCTCTGGAGTCTGGATCTGAGGGAGGTACCGGGTTTGGCCGAGAGTTTGTGGACGGCCGGAGCTGGAGGGCACCTACTACGTTTGCGCAAGCGTCTGGGCGCCGTGGCGGAACCACCCAAAGCTCCTGCTTCTCCCTATTTGCCCGAAGGCGCCTGCGCGCTCAAATCCCACCCTGGGAGTCACCTGTCCGGGCTTCCAGCCCGCTCAGCCCCGCACTTGCGCACTGCGAGCCGCCCAGCAATAGAGTCACGTGTTGGGAGAGCGCCGTGCCCCTCGCGGGCGCTTCCTGTCGCCACAGCCGCCACTGTCGCCCGGTGCTGGGAGGGAGCAGGCCGAGATTTGGTTCGGATCCGCCGCTAGGTATGCTGCACCTGCCCCCCAGCCTGGGACGACGCGGGGACTGCGGGGAAAGTGGAGGCGGCTGGGGCGGGGCGGGGCGCGACAGGGCGGGGCGCCCGTCAGCGGGGCAGGGCCCCGGCGTCACCTCTGCCTGAAGTCCAGGCCCGGCTCTGACTTCGGAGCCTCAGGTTCGAAGTGTCTGATCGACCTCGTCTTTCACCTGGGACCGGTCACACCTGGGACCGGTCACTCCGTGGCCCCAGCTCAGTTGACGGCTTCGCCGTTCACCCAAGTCCCCGAAATCTGAAACCCGGGTGCTCAGAGCCAGTTAACCTCGGAGCCCTCTTGATTTTACTTCCTACTCTGGAATCGGTGCACTTCTCTCCTTTCCCGCCGCCACCCCCGCGCTCCATCAGCTCGCCCAGGCTGTGGCAAGATGCTCCGCGCAGACACAGCTTCCTGCCTTCGCCCTCCTGCTTCCTGCGCACCTTCCCCTCTGCGGCTGGAGCGATGTTTCCGAAGTCCCGACACAACCCGGTCGCTGCTTTCCCCGCTCCCCTGGGATAATGGCCAAACACCTTCTGTTTCACCGCTTGTTTTTCAGTATTTCTAGTCTCACAGTTTATGCCCCCAAGTAATGCCTGGCGTTTAGTTGCCTGTGCAGGCCAAGCTCTTTCTCCCTTCAGCCATTATCAGGTTGTTCCCTCTACTGAGCCCCCCAACTTAATGACTCAGCCGGCACATCCCCTCTTCCAAGGAGCCTTTTCTGTCTGTGCTGGAGAACGAGCCATCTCAGGGTACACGTGCCCTTGGGGTGATGTGTGGTCATGAGTTTGTTTGCACTATGCAAACGGTCCATGAGGGCTGAGACCATGTCCCAGTGCCCAGCACAGACTCTGACACGTAGTAGGTCCTATGGTGCTTGTGAGATTGCTGAGAGAATCAGAATGCTGAGTCAGGTTTCTTTAGAGCACAGCTGTCCAATGGAATTTTCAGTGATTATGTTCTGCGTCTGTGTTGTCCAATGGTAGCCACTAGCCACAGATGGCTACTGAGCAATTGGAATATGTCTGGACTGGCTAAGGAACTTAATTTTAAATTTAATTTGAATTCCTTTAAATTTCAAGTTAAATGGTCACATGTGGTTTCTATAATAGACAGTGCTGCTTTAGAGTCTATCTGAATTCCCCCCTCTGAACCTATAGTTACTTCCCTGAACTTGCTTTCCAAATTAGAGTCAGTTCAGTAACTCTGTTGGGTGTCCACATTCCCATATCTTGTGTTTTTTTTTTGTTTGTTTGTTTTGTTTTTTTGAGATAGGGTCTCACTCTGTTGCACAGGGCTGCATACAGTGACATCATCATGGCTCATTGCAACCTCAAACTCCTGGGCTCAAGCAATCCTCCCGCCTCAGCCTCCTGAGTATGGGACTACAGGCATGAGCCACCACATCTGGCTAATTTTTCAGATTTTTTTTTTTTTTAAAGAGATCCCCATGTTGCTCTTGCTCAGGCTAGTCTCAAACTCCTGGCCTCAAGTGATCCTCCTGCCTTGGCCTCCCAGAGTACTATAGCATCACAGGTGTGAGCCCTTACACTCTCCATTAAAACCATTAACATTAACAGGCCGTCCCTGTCCCTTCCCCATGTGGCTTGCTTCTGTGCTGTCATTCCAACTTTCGTAATTCATCCTTTGGGGTTAAGTTTTGGTTTCTTTGGGATTTGACTAACCATACCTTACCACAGGTGGCACTGTTGAGGACAGGGCTTATAGGATCCTCCATTCTCTTCGGCCCTCCACCAGGTAGGCTGTGAAGATGCCAGGGCCAAGACCTCGGAAGGGCCCTCAAGCAAGTGGCCAGGGTGTGGCAGCTGCCAAGCAGGTATGAACATAGTCTCCTAAGCCCCTGGACCAATTTGAAGGCGGGCGTGGGGGGGTCTCTAGATATCTTGGGCAAACTGGGTCATTTTTGTGGTTTTGCCATTAGTTCACAGACTTTCAGCAATTCCTTTTAGAGATGGCAGATCCCTTGGAGGCCCTAGTCCTTATCACACCCAGGTGGGGAGAGGGTTCAGGAAGCACCAGAGTTTAGGCTCTGGCGGAACCTCAGTGCTGTCATGGATTCCTCATACAGGGTCTCAACATTGCCTGTGGCCAAAGATGCCGCGACTTGAGGGCTTCAGGCAGTGGGAAAACTTTGCTGCTTAGGGACAGAGGGCAGTAGCTGCAGTGGAAGACAGGGTCTGTCCTCCAGTTTTCTCCCTTTATTTCTTCTGTGCCCAAGTTTTGTGACTTCTTAGTTCTATTTTTTTGTCTTAAAAGCGGCAGGTAATGAAGATGGTGGGGAAAAGGATATAGACTCAAGTCTGTGTCATAAGACTCTGTTTCATGTGGATATTGGGATAGAAACAGGACCTGTCTCTACTTAGTCCAATAATTTCTGAAAACAGAAAGTAGAATGGGGCTTACCAGAGGCTGGAGGGAGGGAAGAATGGGGAGTTAAGTTGAGTGGGTAGAGAGTTTCAATTTTGCAACCTGAAAAGAGTTGTGTGGATGGATGGTGGTGGTGGTAGCATGACAGTGTGAAGGCACTTGATATTATTGGACTCTTTAAAATGGTTATGATGGTAAATTATCATTATCATGATGGTAAATCATGATATATGTGTTTTTACAGAGTTAAAAAAAACAGGATCCAGGCATGTGTGGTGGTGCACACATGTAATCCCAGCTACTTTAGGAATCTGAGCTGGGAGGATTACTTGAGTCTGGGAATTTGTGGTTGCACTGAGCTATGATGATGTCACTGCACTCTAGCCTAGGTGACAGAACGAGACCTCATCTCAAAAATAATAATAAATAGGACTTACCTCTAAGATAAAATCATAGAATGTTAATACAGTGCCTACCAGCTATTTCCCTTAGCATTAGTGATGGTAATGGCAGTATAATTTTATTGGGTTCTTTGTAGAATCTCTGGGGAGATAGATGTCCCAAGGGATAATATTGCAGGCCTCAGTTTCCCTTCTGCACACTGGGCTTCACAGATTGAAGGGGACATTGACTGGGACATTGGGAACCCCAAGTCTGGCTCTGGCCCTACCTCATTGTGTGGTTCCTAAGAATCCTGCTCTCCTCCCAGCTGGGGCTCTTTGTGGAGTTCAGCCCTGAAGACATGCTGCTGGGGGTGGACGAGACTGAAAGTGATGAGGATCTGGAGGCTGAGCTGCTGGCCCTCACCGGGGAAGCAGGAACCGCAGGCGGGAAACCGGCACCCAAGGGGCAGGGTGAGTTGGTGACACTGGCCTGGGCATGGTCCTGGGACCAATGGGTATAGGCTGCTAGTAAGGGGTGTCCTCGACTCGTAGCTGGAAGGAGCTAGCCAGACCCTCTGTCTTTCTGGCATCCATGTGCCTTCTGCAGCACTCCCACCAGAAAGTCGGTCCCACCCTGCTTAGACCGTGTGTGACAGGCAGTCCGTCCCTCCCCATAGTGGACAAATGTGATTCTCAGGCTGAGGTCTCTAACCTCAGCTCTAACCAGGGTACAATGTAAAGATGGGTACATAGTGCACAGAAATGTGTTCAGTGACTCAGTGCAGTCTCCTTCCACAGCCTGGAGGAGATCAAGACCTCAGGCCCAGGAGGATGGGGGCGGGGAGGGATCTAAATCTTAACTCTCTTCTCACCCAGAACCCTCGAGAGAACCAGCCCCCATCCCATGTGTCCCTGAGCTGAGGACAATGGGAGGACCTGGGAAGGGGCTCACCAGTCTGGCCCTGCTTTGGGGTTAGACACACCTGGGTTTGAATCCTGACTATGCCACTTACAGGATTGCAGTGTGAGGAAAATTAGAGCTGGGATTTCTCGGTTTGCTTAACGTATTAAAAAGGGGAATAATATAAACCATCTTGCAGAATAGTTGCAAAGTTTGATCTTTACAGCTGTGAAAGGTGTAGGTGGAGGAATGGCTGGGTCTGTCTGTGAGTAACTGCTCCAGGCAGAGTGCAGAGAAAGGAGTAGCTTATTCTCGGTGGAGGAGCTGGGGAGGTTGCCCTGCCGAGTGTCTTTTGAGCTGGGTCTAAAGCAGTGGTTCTCAACCTTCCTAATGCCGCAATGTATTTTCATTGTTAAAAAGGGGTTGAGAACCACTGGTCTAAAGGAAGAGCACTTTTCCAGGTGGGACTCCCCTGTGGGGGGAAGGGGGATTTCTGCTGGGGTGTATTGGCCAATGCAACAGATTAAAGACCCTACTTGGCCATCATTGACCTTACCTGAGTTGCCTTGACCCACTGTGACCCTCTTCCTCCAGCCCCCCTGCCCATGGCCCACATTGAGAAGTTGGCGGCGGACTGTATGCAGGACGTGGAGGAGGAGGAGGAAGAGGAGGAGGAAGGGCTGGAGGAAGATGCAGACCTGCTGGTGCGTCTGCCAGGCCAGTGTCCGGGGTTCTCTGGTCAACTCAGGCCTGGTGGGGGCGGGCTGAGGAGAGGCGGGTGTTCTCTGCACACATCCCTTGCCCTGCCCACTCCTGTCTTCGTACCTATACAGTGTGACACTTGTCTCTTTTGACCTTTGGTCTGAGTTCTGTAGCGGGGGATTCTCAGATGTGGAGTCTCTGCTTTTTTCAAGGGTATCATCAGATTAAAGCAATGTTTTGGTAAAGGGGACTTCCAGGCATAGTGGCTGAAGTTGGGTAGTACTGCTGTGGGACAGGGTCCTATCATGAACGTGGTCCCGGTGCCCCCAAGCTCCTAGGACTTGTTTGTCTCCCCAGACTGAGCTGCAGGAGGTCCTGGGTGTGGATGAGGAGGCTGGGCCCCTGGACGGCGAGGAGGCACCTGGCCCTGGCGTCTCTGAGGAAGAGCAGGGACAGGAAAACATTGAACCTCCAGCACAGGCAGCCGCCCTAACAGCTTCAGCCTCAGTGGTGCAGGTAGCTTCTGGAGGGGGCCCCATATGACTTCTGGGTTCCCATTGCCCTTATATGACATACATGTCGCATGGCTCCCATTACACAGCTGCAGGGACCCTCTTCTGGGTCCTCCTCCAGCTGTTGCCCTAAGTAGAAACTGAGCCTGGACTTTTCTCCATGGCTGGCCCACCTCAAAGGCCTCTCTGTTCTCCAGACACCCCCAGAAGCCATTTCCTGCCTCCACTGATTATTTGGGCCTCTGTATTTGCCTCCAACATGGCCTCTGGTCTCTTTAGGGAGTCTTTGCCTCTCACCTTGAGGTTTTTAGGCTCTTTCTCCTGAAGTCCCAGAGCTCCACATTTTGGGGCAGCTGCCTCTCAGAAGAGAATGGCAAGGGCCTAGCTGGCCCTGGAGTGGCCAGGCCCTGAGCCAAATTCCTTCCAGGCTGGAGAGCCCCGGCTGCAGGTTTTGCTGGAGGAGCGGATTCGCAACTACCGGGAGGCTGCAGCCAGTGCCAAGGAGGCAAGTGAAGCTGCCAAAGCCAGGCGCTGTGAGCGTGGCCTGAAGGTGAGTGGGCCTGGCCAAAGAGCAGGGCTGGGGGCATGAGGCTGTGGGGGAGGTGGCATGTGGAGGGGAGGCCTCCCCGCCAGTCCTGTGGAGCTGATGTCTGGCCTGTCTTCTGTTAGGGGTCCAGGCTAAGGTGGCTAGCTGGGTTTCTGGACTGATTCTCTCCCTCAGACTCTGGAGTCCCAGCTAGCGGCTGTGAGGAAAGGCAGGAACATCAATGAGGATGAGATCCCACCACCAGTGGCCTTAGGCAAGAGGCCCCTGGGTCCCCAGGAAGTAGCCAACAGGAGCCCTACAGCAGAGACCCCAGCACCTCCTGCCATGGAGCCAGGTATCTGAAGGCAGCCAAATGCCGGCTAGTCCCCAGTGTCCTAGGCCATAGCCTGCCTCCCTGACCTGCCACTGCCTGTGACCATTGGCCATCCCTTCCTCAAGATGTCCTCAGGCTTATGAGACCTGGGGTCTCGGGAACCTAAAGCAGGCACCTCTTTTTTGACCCTTGTGCCCTTTCTGGTGGGGGTTTTGTTTCCCTGTAGACAACCTCTCCCAACCTGAGACAAGCCTCCCAGGCAGCCCGGGCATTTCTGCCCCGTCTGATTCAGACCCAGACCCGCGAGCCCTGTTGTCATCCCGACAGAGAGAGTACAAAGTGGCTGCCCTCAGGGCCAAGCAGGCTGGAGATCTGGACCGTGCTCGAGAGCTCATGAGGATTGGGAAGGTAGGACGTCTGGTTCCGAAGCCCTGGGTCTCCACCCCTTGTTTTATAGATGGGGAAACTGCGGCTCAGCGAGGAAGCTAGGCTGGGCGCCAGGCATGAGACTGGCCGGAGGGGAAATGGTTTCAGTCCAGACTTTTGGGTTTCCCTGGTTTATGTCACATCTGCTTTTCTTGATTCTGCAGAGATGTGGTGCTGTCCTAGAGGCCCTGGAGAAGGGACAGCCTGTGGACCTGAGTGCCATGCCCCCAGCACCTGAGGGTCAGTGTGGGAATTGTGGGAGGATCTGCTCGGGCTGGGGTTGGGGCTGGGGAGGAGTACTAAGGCTGGCCAGGCACCCCCACCTGCACTCTGCTCTGGGTCCCCCAGGTCTGAAGCCCCCCCAACACACATCTCAGGCCCCCACAGCACCATCACTCATTCCACCAGCTGTGGAGCAGGTGCAGCCAGTGATGGCCTGTGACGTCCCAGCAACCCCAGGTAGGACAGGGTGGTTGGGGGACCTGGTGTGGGAACCTGGCATGAGCAGGCAGAGCTGATGTCCTCTCCTTCCTCCCTTCAAGTGGCTCCTGCTGAGCCGCAGACTGTGCTGGACGCCCTTCAGCAGAGGCTCAGCAAGTACCGTGAGGCAGGGCTGCAGGCCCGGGGCAGCGGGGACGAGCGCAAGGCCCGGATGCACGAGCGCATCGCCAAGGTGGGCCACGGCCATCCACGCTGCCTGTCGAGCCTCCTGCTCTGCTGGCTGTTCTCCATCTCTGTGGAGTCTTTGCCTGTCTGTCTGTCGCTCCTGCTGCCTTGGGGCTCTTTTGTTCCTGGGCTGCTGTCTTCCCGTCAGTCTTCCTTTCCTCACCTCCCTGTGTCATCGTGGACAGTGGTCTATGGACCGCTGCCCACTGTGGTCCCTCCCTGCTTCCCTTGCAGCAATACCAGGACGCTATTCGAGCGCACCGAGCAGGTCGGAAAGTTGACTTTGCTGAGTTGCCTGTTCCTCCAGGTGAGGGGGGGCTTGGCCAGGGGGTTCTCTGGGAGGACTCCAGGCAAGAAGGGAGGGAGAGGTGGGTGATTTCTCATGCATATGCCATCACCATGAGGAGCCACCCACCCCAGCCAGAGCCAGAGAAGGCCCCCAGCAGCCTTCAACTTCCCTGAGGCTCCCCGACCCCTTCCAGCTCTGTGTCTCTCTCCCTCAGGATTTCCCCCCATCCCTGGCCTGGAGCCCGCAGTAGGCACTGAGGAGGATGCGGTGGCGGCAACTCTGGCCGCTGCCCAGAAACTGGCTGCCTCAGAGGATACAGGCCCAGCAGATGAGGACGAGGACAAGGTTTGGCTGAGGGTGCCAGACTGCAGGGGTCAGTGGGGAGAAACAGCAGATGAGGGGCAAACCCAGATGCTGTTATTATCTGTACCAGTAAGCCCAGTGAGGTAGGTATTCTGTCCTCCATGTTCTAGAGAAAAAACTTTGGTAAGGGCACCCAGCTAGGAGATAGCAAAGCTGGGATTCAACCAAGGTCTGATTCCAGAGCGCGGGTTCCATCTCCATTACCCTGATGCCTCCTTCTTGCTGGGGAAGTTAGGCTAGAGAGCTTTAGAGGCTTCTAGCTGTGAGGTCTCTTAGTGCTCAGGAAGCAAGGCCACTCATCTCAGGCTGTACAGTGAGTGAGTGCAGTGTTAGGGAGAGGACCCAAGTCTGGGAGCTGCCGTGGCCACAGTGGAGAACAGAGTCCCTCATGGCAGCCTCCTGGGCATCTATAGGCTGAGCCGCCAGCACAGGCCCCAGCGGCCAAGAAGCCAGCACGGCCTCTGGTCCCTTCAAGCCAGCCTCTGTCTGAGCCCAAGGCCTCAAGTTCTAAAGAGTCACTAAGTCCATCTGGTAAGCTGGGGACAAGCAGGGTGAAGGGGAAAGGCTGGGGGGCAGGCATGGCCCTAACCAGGGGCTCTGTCCCTTTAGTACGGGAACAGCTGGCACTGCTAGAAGCACGGAAGCTGCAGTACCAGCGGGCAGCCCTGAAGGCCAAGCGGAGCCAGGACCTGGAGCAGGCCAAAGCCCACCTTCGGGTGGCCAAGTGTCTTGAGGCTCAGATCATCCAGGCTCGAGCCGGCCGCCCTGTTGATCTCTCCAAGGTGAGTCCCACCTGGAACACTGGGACCTCTCAGGCCAGGAGATGGGGCCGACTTGACAGGCAGGACAGTGACTAGGGAAGCTTGGGGAGGAGGTGAGATTTGGACAGGATGCCATGACAGCTGGGAGGGAGCCTTGTGGCTTATGCTTGTCTTTACGGCATGGCCCCCAGAGAAACTGGGGGAGAGAGGGGCTGCCCATGGTCAGAGATGACAAGGCTGGCAAGGCCAAGGGGAGACAGAGTGTTGCAGAGCAGAGGCAGAATGGAAAGCAAGATTTTCCATTGTTGGCGTTGAGTAGAAGCTTGAAGAACAGTTTAGTTTGGATTCCTGCCTTTGTTGGGCTCAGTCAAGGAGTAATCTGACTCTTGGGGCCCGAGGGGCCTTGTGACCTGGGTAGGTGCCTTCACCCTTGACGGATGAGGAGGGTGACTTCATCCTCATCCACCACGAGGACCTGCGACTCTCCCAGAAGGCTGAAGAGGTGTATGCCCAGCTGCAGAAAATGCTTCTGGAGCAACAAGAGGTGAGTAGGCCCCTTGTGTATCCCTCTCCTTTCAGTGCCTACAGCCTCCCTGTGGAGAAAGACCAGGAGCTCAGCCCGCAGGGGCCTCTTCCACTTACTGGCTGTGTGACCTTGGGCAAGGTGCTTCCCCTCTCTGAACCACATTTTTCTCATCTGTAAATGAAATAGTACCCTTCTTTCAGGGTGGTTGTGAAGTTCCAACAACAGTGTGGAGGGGAAAGGACTTGTGGGTGGGAAGGGAGACAGATATATATGTGTCTTTATACATTTATCTCGCTGAACTGCTGCTTGTTCTTCTGGAAAGTCTGCCTTCTGAGGTGATGTTTGAATTAGGTTTTAAGAAAGAATGGGGGGAGGGCAGCGCCTGTGGTTCAAAGGAGTAGGGCGCCAACCTCATGTGCCAGAGGTGGCAGGTGCAAACCCAGCCCTGGCCAAAAACTGCAAAAAAAGAAAAGAAAGAAGGAATAGGGGTTTGCTGAGTGGATTTTGTGGAGTGGCTGTCTTCAGGAGAGGAAATAGCAAAAGCTTAGGCAGAAAAGTGTGGTGGGACTTGGGAAATGTGCCCTTGGGTTCTGCGTTGGGGGAGGAGCGAGGTGAGGCTATGGAGAAGGGTTGGAGCTTTAAGAAGACAGGCCTTGGCCGATGTGGTGGCTCGCTTCTGTAATCCTAGCACTCTGGGAGACTGAGGTGTGAGGATTGCTTCAGCTCAGGATTTTGAGACCTGCCTGAGCAACAGTGAGACTTCATCTCTCTAAAGTTAGAAAAATTAGCTGGGTGTTGTGGCAGGTCCCTGTAGTCTCAGCTACTTGGGAGGCTGAGGCAGGAGGATCATTTGAGCCCAAGAGTCTGAGGTTGCTGTGAGCTAGCCTGAGGCCATGGCACTGTAGCCTGGGAAATAGAATAAGACTTTGACAGAAAAAGAAAAAGAAGTCAGGCCTTAAATGCTAACCTGGGCAGGTTCTGCCCTGGGCTCTGGAGGCATTCTGGGTCCCTTTTTCAGAAATGCCTGCTGTTCTCCAAGCAGTTCATGCACCAGGGCAATGTGGCTGAAACTACCCGGTGAGTGCAAGGGCTGGGCGGGGCCTGTGAGGTGGGGAGCAGAACATGAGCCCTGTCTTGCTTATGTGCACACCACTTCTGTCAGGTTTGAGAAGCTCGCTCAGGAACGGAAGAAACAGCTCGAGATACTGCGGCTGGCCCAGGCCCAGGGCCTCGACCCTCCCAGCCACCACTTTGAGCTGAAGACATTCCAGACTGTGAGGTGCCAAGGCCTGAGGGAGGCAGTGGCTGGGAGCTGAGGTTGGAGACTTCTGCCCTTTTTGTGGAGGCTTCCTGAGATTGGCCCTGCTATGGGCACTGGGGCTAGTGAATAGTAGGACATGGTCCTTGCCAGGGAGATGCTCAGAGCAGTCTGGTTGCTGTAGAAAGGGCTCTGACTGGGAGTAGAGTGAGAGTCTCAAGCGAGAGCAGTTTAGCTGCTGCTAGTTGGAACAGCATTTCTTCCCTGGACCCACCCTCCTCATTACCACTCAAGTGGGCCTGGGAACAGACCTTGTTCCCCTACTGTCCTTCATTTTGACCTATTTCTTCCTTCTTGGCCATAGGATCTTCTCTGAACTCAACAGCACAGAAATGCATCTGATTATTGTCCGGGGAATGAACCTCCCAGCCCCTCCAGGTAAGCCCACTCAGGGAGGCTCCTGCCCTGACACTGCACCCCAGGCACCAGGCTCCTGGCTGCTCTGGCTCCTGACTGCCCTTTCTTCTCACAGGGGTGACCCCTGATGACTTGGATGCTTTTGTTCGTTTTGAGTTTCACTACCCTAACTCGGTGAGGTTCAGGTAGAGGGTAGGATCCTCTGACGCCCACCTTCCGTTCCAGGACCTTGTGCTCAGCTTCTCCCCATCCCTGGGAGGCCTGGCTCTAGGTTCCTGGCCCTGTACACCTGTTTTCACAAGCTGTCCTGGCTTCTTTCTCCTGCTTTAGGACCAAGCTCAAAAAAGCAAAACAGCTGTGGTAAAGAACACAAACTCTCCAGGTGAGGGCCACACAAGCACCCCTCCCCCTCCCTCTTACTCTGTGTGTGGGCAGCATTTGTAGTTCCACGATGCTTTCTGAGCTATGATCCTTGGTCCACTCATCTTGAGAGAGAAAGGTTCTGTTAACACTCCCCTTACATAGCTGGGAGACAGGCTCACAGAGGTAAAGGGACTTGCCGTGGTCTCAGGGCAGGTGGTCCAGGTGGGACTGACCTAGGAGTCCTCACTCGAGATTCCAAGTTCTGCCACTTCGTTATACTCAGCATCTAACAAGAGTAAAACCTTCTTCCAAGGCCAGGACCTAGATGCTCTGCCACCCTTTTGTGGCGGTCTCCCTGAATTGCAGGCAGAGAGATTAGAAGGGGGGCCAGCCTGGACGTCTGTCGGCACTTCCTCAGGAAATCCTGGGAGCCAAGCCCCTCTTTGCCTTCCCCTCTTACAGAATTTGATCAGCTCTTCAAACTGAACATCAACCGAAACCACCGGGGCTTCAGGAGGGTGATCCAAAGCAAAGGAATCAAGTTTGAAATCTTCCACAAAGGGTGAGCCTCCTGTCAGTCACACTGCCAGGGAAGATCATTTCCATCCCTACCGCCCCCTTCGTCCTCTGCTTTCCTGCATGAGCTCAGCTGGGTCTGCCCATACAATGCTCCGCTGCCCCTTGGCTCCCCAGATCCTTCTTCAGAAGTGACAAGCTGGTTGGCACAGCACACCTGAAACTGGAGCGGCTGGAGAATGAATGTGAAATCAGAGAGATCGTGGAGGTAGGACCCTGGGGGCAGGAAAGCTGGAGGACTTGTGTGGGAAGAGCCCGTGGCCAGTGAAATTCTGCGGTAGGTTTTGTGCCTTTCCTAACAATTGCTCACAAGTGTTCTGTAGGGTAGGAGGCCTCCTCTCCTCCCAGGTGGAGAGTTCTGAGAGGTCTGAGAAGTTTCCTGGAGGAACCCAGCAGACTGCAGTGAGTCTGTACTTAGGAATGAGCCCCCAGATTGCTCCTCAGGCTTCCATGAACTCGGAGAATTACACAGGGACTCTGAGCTTGCTTCTGACAAATGAGGATATTTAGGCCAGTAAGGAAGGGGGTTACTTAAGCTTGGACAGTGTGTTCTTGGCAGAGTTAGGCCTGCTCCTGATCCCTCTGTAGGCTGGTGCCTTTCCCACAGCAGCACACCTGGGGCAGCTGTTCTTACTGGGCGCCTGGTCTGTATTAATAGGGTGGTCAGACCTTTGGGGCCTGTTGCACTACTTTGCTCTCCAGCTGCCCCCTCCTGCCCCAAAGAGGGAGTGCTGTGGTCAGTGGGAAGGAGCCCTTGGCCTGGGTTCTAGTTCTTTTTTTTTTTTTTTTGAGACAGAGTCTCACTATGTTGCCCTGGGTAGAATGCTGTGGCATCACAGCTCACAGCAACCTCAAACTCCTGGGCTTAAGCAGTTCTCTTGCCTCATCGGCTATTTTTGTTGTTGTTATAGTTGTTAGTGTTTAGCAGGCCTGGGTTGGGTGCGAACCCGCCAGCCCTGGTGTATGTGGCCGGCACCCTAACCACGAAGCTATGGGCACTGAGCCTGGGTTCTAGTTCTGACTGCCACAGAGTCATCCACTTCTCTCTGGTCCATTTATCGAGGTTTGGGGGTGGGCTCAGGGCTTTCAGGCTGCTCCTGGGAGGCAGTGTTTCTTCTAGGAGTTGCATAGGGATTGGGGGGAAATGGAGTCAGCAGAGCTCTAGGTTTCCCACTTTGCTGATAGCGCCAATGCTTATCTAGGTTTATATATGACTCTTATAACACTTACCTCAAACCATCACTGCCACCAGCTGGGCGGGGTGGCTCATGTAATCCTAGCACTCTGGGAGGCCAAGGCAGGTGGATTGCTCTGAGCTCAGAGGTTCAAGAGCAGCCTGAGCCAGAGTGAGACCCTGTCTCTACAAAAAGAAAAAGAGGCCGGGCGTTGTGGTAGACGCTTGTAGTCCCAGCTACTTGGGAGGCTGAGGCAAGAGAGGGCCCCAAAGTGAGAATATGTCTCAATAAAGAAATAAAGGAGAAAAGAAAAGAAAATTAAAACTTTCATGGCCACATCCACACAGCAGGAGGGGAGGGTCGTCGTGAATGGAAGCTCCCGTGTTAACAACATAGGACTCCTCAGCGCCTCTCACTTCTTTCCTGGGAGTACAGGGACTGGCCTGCTCCCAGCTGTCCTCCTCTCCATGGTCCTTACAGGTCCTGGATGGAAGGAAGCCCACCGGAGGGAAGCTGGAGGTGAAGGTGAGGTTACGGGAGCCTCTGAGTGGCCAGGACGTGCAGGTGGTCACTGAGAACTGGCTGGTGCTGGAGCCCAGGGGCATGTGAGGTGGGTAGTTCTCTAGGCCCTCGAACCTCTGCCCCTGCTTTCTGCCAGGGCCCTTTAGGGACCCTCCTCTTGTTCAACTCATATTTGGGAAGAAAGCCAGGGAGTTCCTCATTATAAGGGAGGCCACGCTGTTGGGTAGGGTTCATGAGTTGTTCCTTATGTTCCTCAGGAGAACTGGGGTGGGGGGTAACCTTCCAGGGTTTAAGCATCTGAGGAAATCCTTTCTAAAATCTGTTTTCTCTGCACTTAGACTGACTGCCTGTGCTTTGCACCGCTGAGCAGCAGATGGTCAGCACTGGGAGAAGCAGCCAGCAACTGTGTGCAGGAGCTTGCTTGTCCCACTTTGCTGCCTTCGAAAGCCTTCGTACATAAGAGACACTGCTACATGAGCACCAAAGACCTGTTGAGCACGTGCACTAATGACCTCGACCCTGGTCTTTCCTGTTACACAGAAACAGGCTGGCCTCTAGGAGCCCCTTTCCCCCTGATCCCCCTAATCTGGATGAAGGCAAGGATACCCTCCTTGCTCCATGCCATGGAGTCCTGCAGCCCTTTAACTCCCATGTAGCAACTGTGCAGCCTACCCTGTCCCCCGTTGTACCGTTTCTGGATGTGCCTTTAAAAGCTAACTATAAGGGATGGGAGAACTCGGGGGTGATCGGAACCTCCCCTGCTTAGGGCAGGGCAGGGTTCCGTGACTCCAGTGGGTCAGTGGCAGCCTGTCCCAGACCGCTCCTTACCCCGCTCTGCCTTGCCTGTGCCTTTGTTCCTGACAGCTGCTGCACTAGCCTTCCTGCTTCCCAGAGGACTTAGGGGAAGAGGAAAGTTATTTTTGGTACTACTTGATGGGAAGTAAGGGGAAGGTCATATCTTGGGTTTGGTCCAAACACCTAAGATAAAAGACTGTTAACTTGAAGAGAAGAAAAAAAAAAAAAAAATATATATATATATATATATATATATTTGTGTATATACATATATATAAAATAAAATTTTACATAGCAAATTTTACTTAGGAAACTAGGTCTAATTCTTAGTACAGATTTTACAGTCTGCACACAGAGTGACCACCAAAGACATAAACAAAAGCCTCACTGTGCTTTTTAAAAGCCACAGTAGCACCAACAGTTGTTACCGACAGACACTGCTGCTATGGCTTTGAGAGGGGACATGGAAAGTGTTTCCTCATCAGCTGAAAACCTGGGGATTTTTAAGTCTCTGCAAGAAATTCTCCTTTGGCTTTGTTTATCTGAATGGATGGAGACAGAGGGATTTATAGTGGTAAGTAGTCGTAACAATAATCAAAACTAATATTCTACATCTCTTAGAAATAAATTCCCCATCTTTCTTGAAGCATTAACTTCAAGGTCAACAAGGCACTCCTCATGATCTTTTTCTTTTTTTTAAATTTTTTTTGCAGTTTTGGCTGGGGGCTTGCTTGGTTTGAACTGGTCACCTAGCGCCCTACTCCTTTGAGCCACAGGTGCCGCCCCTCATGATCATTTTTAAAAACCTGTAAGTGAAGCAAATGCATTTGGCTTACTGATGCTAGTGCATAAGTATAGCTCAAGGGTAAAGTTGTGCCTTTTTTAGGGGTAACAAGACTGGACCATGCTTCCTTGCCCTTAAGAGCAGAGCTTTCAGTGGGTCACAGACCAGGAATCGTATACACAGGTGACTCCCCCCCCACCCAAGAATCCTCTGGCCAGGTTTGCTTACCTATCCCTACTGAGCTGGGTCCACAGATGTGAGTTAACTCTGAATTGTAGTGTCAAGCAGCCATCTACAAAAGGAGGGCTGTTACCCTTCCTAAGGTGGCCCAGGAAAAACGGTAGCCAAATGGTTTCTCAATCAGCCTACTCTCCTTGGGGTATGCGCCAACCCAGTGTGCTAAGAGGGTTGGGGGCCACTGTGATTAGCCTTGAAATTGCCACTCAGCCCTGGGAATTTGTAGATTCAGGCCTCTGCTGGCCACACTTTTTCACTAGGAAGTTTTCTGTGGCTCTGGCTCCCAAGATTTCCCTTTGCAACCCATTTGTCAGCTTCATTGCTCTTTGCTTTTTGAAAAGCAGCCTCCACGCTGAGGCAGGCAAGACAAAGCCTCCCACTGGGCTCAGAGACTGAAATTCTTAAAAGGCCTTTGTTGTAGCTTAGGCCACATGGGTCACTGACAGTGGGAGGAGCCTGCCCAGCCTCATCTTGTCCTAAGATTTATCCAAATACAGTCACCAGTGAAGATTAGACTCATGGGCAGGTGGGAACCAGCTATAATCCAGAGCATTTAAAAATTTTCAGTTCTCTTTTTGATAAAAGTACAGGGGTGGGAAGTTGCCATGTCGGAAAGCTGCAGTAATGTATTGTAATGAAATAAGGCTGCATTCAAGAAACTTCAATTAAAATATACTTAAACATGTACGTTATTTTGTAAAAGTCTTACTATGTAGCAAATTTCAAAAAATGAAAACTATTTGTTCATCTAAAAATTAACATTTGAATGGATTTGTCGAGTCTTGTTGGATAGCACATTTAGGAGCAGCCGGGAGGCCCCACCATTTACATGCTCCTCTAGATGGGTTATCAGTCACTTGTGACCTTAAGGGCAACTTCATTTGGCTGAGGTAGGAGGATGTAGATTCTTGCTTTGGTTGAAAAGCAAGAGAGCATTTGGGGGGGTATGTTGCTGAAGATGTGTGAACTGTATTTTCCCGTATTACAGTTGGATCTTTCTGTAAGTGTCATCGACTGAGTGCTCAGTGAATCCCAGCTGTAGTCCTGTAGGTGCTTTGGTGACGTCAACTAGGTGAGGCTTATTTGAGGCTAATGTTAATCTGAGTGTGATGTCATGATCTCAAAGTCAGTGAACCTTTCATTGTGTTCCCCAATTAATAGGTTGTCTATAACAGTTGTGCGTTCATCACTTGATTCACATGCATCATCCTGCTCATCAATGACCGTTAACTGTGTTCCCCAATTAATAGGTCTGTAACAGTTGTGCGTTCATCACTTGATTCACATACATCATCCTGCTCATCAATGACCGTTGTTAACTGGGAAAAATGTTCATCCACATTTCCTTTTAAAGAAGTGTTTTGAAAAATGATAGTTTTTAAAATGCTTGAATTTTTTGCCACATATCACGTTTAGACTGTTTTACTTTGCAAAGAAATTGTCAAGTTGTTTTGACATGGTGTAACACAGCAATGCTGCGTTCCTGTGAAATCTTTTAGTCATTCACATTGCTATTCCTGTTCTTCATAAAATTTAGCTATTCTTATAGAGATAAAATTTTGGCTAACACCTGTCCCTGTGGTTGCCCGTGCACTTCAGAATGATATGGCAAATCCAAGCTGAAATCATTCAACTTTAGAATGTTAGGAAACTGGTAATGCATTTGCATGATAGAGTTAATAGTATTTATGACTTGTCAAGTGTTACTGAAAAGAGTAGCTTTAGCACAAGAGATTTTGCTGATGCAAGACACAATGAAAAGAAATGAAAGCATTTTGATCTGGTAATACTTTTATCTGTGCAATAAACTTCATGTTTTCCTGTCATGGAAGGTGCAGCATCTGTACATGAAGTTTCCCAAATTCAGTCCAACTTCATGACATGTTTCCTGAAAGTTGGAGATACTTATTACCTGTGTTCTGTTTGTAGGATTGCCCAAAGTAACTCTTTATATCAAAGAAAATCTAGTATGATCCGAAGGAAGTCTAAAACCTACACCAAGTCAGTAGTATCAGTTTTCCCATTGCAGTATTGTATGATGTTCTATTAAGTGAGCGGTTCTCAACCTGTGGGTCGCAACCCACAGGAACTGTATTAAAGGGTTGTGGCATTAGGAAGGTTGAGAACCACTGTATTAAGGTAAGGCTAATTCATGCCACCAATGAATTATGGTTCTGGAAAGAGGCAGTTATTTGTACTTTGAAACATTACAGGGGTCTAAGTATCCTACAACTTCAACAGTGCATTCTTTTACACTTTCTACATCACTGAATGGCTTCCCTTTTTTTGCCTGAGTTTATAAGCTACTTGATAAATTGCATCAGTGGCATTATTTCTGGGTCTTTTTGCCACTTGAGATAATTGTCTTTGCTTTTCATTTTTAATTTCTTCAATACAGCCTTTCATGCCTCCCTTCTAAATTGGCTGAAGAGCATTTCAAGTTCTTTAATGTTGGTACTGGAGAATCACAAAGCAAGCAAATCATTTTGTTAGCAGAACCAAGGTGCCAGTTCCCAATCTTTGTTAAAAGAAAGTTTTCTTTCTTGTTTCTCTTGATCTTCTTTGACATGATGGGCTGTTAAGCAGAGCTATGCAACTATTCACAAATCCCACTTCAAACAGAAACAGTGCACTGTTGTCAAAAGCTGCTTACAGATTGGCCTACTGGAACCCCACAAACCCTTGAAAACCACCCTCGCATAGTGGCAACAGTTAGGTGGGGGAAGTTAGAACTGTATCATTAAAGTAGCAGACATCAATTTAGCCCTTATGGCTTACTAATGTTCTAACTATGGTAGTCAGTCTGGGAGGAGGATTTGTTGAAACTTATTCTTTGGTATTTTAAATACATTTGCTTTTAAAAAGATGAACAAAAATATATTAATAAAAGGATTAGTTTTGTAAAATTTGGATTCAGTCAGAAGGCCGCACTTAAGGACATAGAAGGGCACAGGTTCCTCACCCCTGGCCTAATACAATGCTTACTTTCTCCTGAATTTGTGAACTGAATAAAATATGGAAGAAATTGATGATGGAATCAAGAAGTCTTGCTCACAGTTAAAGCACAAACTTTTGTGACTTTAACATTATGTTCCTTTTCTTACAGCACCCTTCTGAAACCTGCCTCATTGGTTTCAAATTTTGAAGGCATGTTTTCCAGGAATTGTGGGCAGTTCCTAAAAGATCTTCCCCCTTAAGTAAGGACAGGGGCTTTCAGGATGAAGCCATGGGACTGAGACCCGTAGATCCGAGCTTACACTTGATATATCGTCTCTTCACAGATGGGAGTCTTTCCTCTGGGCCTCAGCCGCCCAGCCTCTGAAAGGTAGCATCATCATTTCTTAGGCCTCTGGCTATGTATATAGTCCCTAGAAATCCTATTACCTTTTTTTTGCATTTTACACTAGTAACCACCCTCAAAAACTTGCTAATTCCAGAAATGTTTAGCAAATTGTTCTCTAAAATGCACTAAATGCATAGATTATTTCCCAGATGACCAGTGATGATAGAGCTAAATTTATTTGCCATTTGGCCAGGGTTGGGTTTGAACCCACCACCTTCAGTATATGGGGCCGGCGCCCTACTCACTGAGCCATAGGCACCTCCCGATAGAGCTAAATTTAATTGGAAATTTGGGGCCCACCAGTATCCAGGAACACGGGGGAAGGCAGGTGATGGAAGCAACAAAATTCCTTATCTCTATAGCCCCCGAGTCCAGAAGTTGCCCACGAAATGCTGGCAGGAATAAATGGGCAAACTACATTGCCTAGCATTTGGTAAGTATTCCATAATTTATAAAAATTTAATGAATTATTAGGATGGCAATTCTGTCCCTCTGGTTTGAAAGGATCTCTTTAGCTCAATGTTTTACAATCTAGAAAATTTATGTATTTAGAAATGTGATATTTCACACTGTCACTTTATGTAATTTGCACACTATGCATTCTATACAACAAAGATAAACAACAGGGTGGGCACCTGTGGCTGAAAGGAGTGGAGCACTGGCCCCATCTGCCGGAGGTGGCGGGTTCAAACCCAGCCCCAGCCAAAAACTACAAAAAAAAATAAAAAATAAAAAATAAACAAGAAAAAAGAAACTAGCCTTGACTGTTTTATGCTCAATTCCACAAGATGATTTTACTGAACATCATGCAGTTGAGAATGGACCTGACCAGTGTTCATCATTAGTGGAA